ATCCGTCTCTCTCTCGTCTCTCTCTCTCTCTCTCTCTCTCTCTCTCTCTCTCTCTCTCTCTCTCTCTCTCTCTCTCTCTCTCTCTCTCTCTCTCTCTCTCTCTCTCCCGCGCTACTCTCAACTCACCAAACTGAGCCTCTCCGGGGCGGGGGTGACTCCGGGAACTGTGAGCCTGCTGCTGCGCCGCAGGTTCCCGGAGAAGGTACCGGGCCCGCGGCGACAGAAGCCTCCTTCCCCGATCCAGAAGACGGGGGTAGAAGGTCAGAACCAGAGCCGGAGCGGACTGGTCGCCGTTGGTCCGCTGCCGCTCTTCCTGCTTCGCCTGGAAGGCAGCCTTCGGAGGAGGGCAAAGCTCTCTTGGAATGAAGACTGCGGTGTGACTTTTGCTGCTGTGCTGCTGCTGCTGCTGCCTGTTGCTGGGGCTGTTGCTGTCGCTGGGGCTGGGGCTGGGGCTGCGGTCGCTGCTGCTGTTGCTGCACTTCGCTCTGAGCAGCGGCTGGTCTCTGCTGGCGCCTGGGCTGCGAGGCCGAGGGAGAGGGCTGCTGGGCAATGGCAACCAGCTGCTGGCCAATGTTGACCGGCTGCTGGGTACGGCTGGACTGTGGAGCAGGCTGCTGGGGACGGCTGGGCTGTGGAGAAGGCTGCTGGGGAATGGCGACCGGCTGCTGGGGACGGACGGCTGGCTGCTGCGGGCGAGTCCGGCAACACACACCCCGACCGTTGAAAGGCGTGACGCAGTACTGAAACACAAAACAGGTTAAAAATTCTTAAAACTATAATTACGTTCTTTTCTTATGGTGCGGAAAACTAAAATCACTTTTGACTTACATCATTCATTCATCTCATTTCAAAAAGTCATTTGAAGGAATCTTCTTTCTCGGTAACTTGCTTTTCTCACCGTGGTCAGGGATGGGCTGCGGTTGCCGAGGGCCACTCGGTTGGTGAGGAAGCCGTCCGCTCCGCACAGGTTGACCTCCACACACCGCTGGTCCGCCTGACACGTCACCTGTGTGCCCTGCTGCGGTCCCGGTCCAGCCTGAGGGACCGGAGCTGGCGGTGTCTGCCGCTGGGGTGCCACCGGAGACGTCCTGGCAGGGGCCGCGCCACTCAGGAACGGATTCCTGGCCAAGCTGGGCGGCAGCGCAGAGGACGGCTGGCGCGGCTTACTGGAGAAGGACGCTGGCACCTTGGCGGCGATGGTGTTGACGGGTCTGGGTCGCTGGCGGCTCGGCGCCGCCGCTCGCGGAGGGCCCTGGCTGTCGATGGCGTTGGCACTGGGGTCGATATACCGCCCCGGTCTCTCCTGGCAGCAGACGCCGGCGTCGGAGCCGTCGAGGGCGCACCTCTGGATGGCCACCGTCGGCTGGGAGGGGTCGGCGGCCGGCCGGTCGAGCACACCACGCACAAAGCCCGTGTACGGGTCACAGGTGCTCTCGGGCACACAGACTAGCCCGGCGCCGCAGCTGGCCGTCACAGGACCCTTGGGGCCCGAGCCGCCCGTGCCGGGGTTACGGTTCAGGTCCTCGGGACGAATTGGGATGAACGGCCGCTGCGTCTGTTGCTGAACAGACTGCTGCTGCTGCTGCTGACGTTGCTGCTGCCGCTGCTGCTGCTGCTGCTGCTGCTGACGTCGTCTCTGCTGCAGCTGCTGCTGCTGCTGCCGCTGCGTCTGTTGCTGGGTAGACTGCTGCTGCTGCTGTTGCTGCTGCTGCTGCTGCTGCTGCTGCTGCTGCTGCTGCCGCTGCTTCTGCTGCTGCGGCTGCTGCTGTACACCTCCCGCAGCCTGCCGCTGTGCGTTACCTGGCTGGAAGCTCGGCAGGAACGGATTGTGGTGTCCCACCTGTCCGGGTTGCCTGGGAGTCACCTGGATACCGGCACCAAAGTCCACCGCTCCTGGCGTGATGGACGACCCGGCCGTCCGAGCTTCAGACACTTCTTGGGCACCGTGGTCTCCATGGGGGTGGTCCCCACCGGTAGCGTGACTTCCGTGGTCCCCGTGGTCTCCATGGTCCCCGTGATCTCCGTGATGTCCGTGGTGGTGCTCCGGATCGCCGAGCCGCGGGTCGCCCGGCAGCAGATTTGGCGCAGCTGCGGCCAGCCCGGCGCACAGCAGCAGACACAATCCGACGACGGCCGGTCTCATGCTGGCGACGGTACGGCGGCACGGCGCAAACTGCGGCGCCGCCCGGGCTCGCGCCGTCTCTCGCCGCCCCCGCCCCCGCCCCCGCCCCGGCGGCGGCGCTCAAGGCTCCCGGATGCAGCTGAGACGACATCGCCGATGACGTCACGAACAGGGTGCTCATCGATGTCGGCAGGGGTCAGCTGGGTCAGACCGACTGGTCGCACCCTCCCATAAAACCACCGGGGCTTCTCGAAGGAGAAGGGTGGTTGGCGGCGTGGGAGAGCGGCGAGGTTACGGCTACCAAGTCACCTCGTTTTACCAATCTTATAGGCGTTCTGTTTAGTTTGAGAGATATTCAATATATGCAATTTTGTTTTTATTGCATATTAAGCGTGGTAAACTTGATAAAAATAGTTTGATAAGTCATAAAGGACTATCGCAAATGTGATTTGTTATACATACCTACATGTACTCACTCGTATGTCTTTCGTAATGACGGATGACATGCATCAGGCCGTATGATTTGCCTGTAACGCTATGCTACATATGGTACCTCAGATGCGTATACAGTATACACCGTTGGCTTGTGGATATTGGTTAGCCAGGAGTTTCATTTAATTAAATTTCTTATAATATTTGCAGGCATCTAATTTCCAATCATTTCGGCAAATGGCAATATATTCACTTTAGTATGAGGCTACGGTTCGTAATCTTCATATTTTCAATCCTATATGCTCAGACGTCATCGTTGCATGATTGTTTCTGCTCTTGCAAAAGCAGCTTTACGACGATCAGGAGCATGCGACTTCAGACGATTTTATGTTGAATACCGCTTGTTACACAATTAATCTTCGTCCGTGTTAAACAGACATCGACGCTTAGGATACCCAGGCATGCAATGTGTGATAAACCTTCTTGCAGATGGTAATTCGTCATTCACTTCCACAATCACCACAATCATTGAAACGTGCTACACGCCATAAATTTCACTTAAATGCGTTGAAAAGCTGCTGTTGTACGTTTTTCCGCGTAGTAAATCGACACCTTGCCGTTCTTCGTGAAAACGCGAACTCTACGTGAAATTATTAATGCTAAAGAATTGACTTATCATACATATTTCTTTTTAAGAAGGAAACTAGCACCATTGTGACTGCCTCATGTCAAACACTAGTGAAAATGTCCATACGCTGGTGCCGGACGCTAGTGCAGTCTCAGCCACCGCCGTCAGTTCGTCATGTAGCGGTCATGATGCGTGTTAATGGACCGTAATCTACGGTCTGCGGTCTGCGAAGGCCAGCGCAGGGGTACACAGTGGTTACTGTCGACTGCGTCTCTTTACGTGTCAGCTTAGTTTTTATTTGAGCAAGAATAGGTACATACATACCTTTACTCATGACTGTACATGCGTGCAAAAGGGTGACTGAAAATTCTGAAGAAGTGAGAGAAGTTTATTAAACCACAAGACTCTGCTCATATTACAATACATCAGATATTTCCCCAATGAGACGTAGCTAATAACCACGAATAATATTAGCTCTTAACCTAAATATTTTCGCTTTTCAAGACACGAGTGACTCAATAATGCCGCAGCGGTTGTGCGATATCATGCAGGCATATCGTACGAGTATAATATTAAAACTCGAATCCAGCTGATGGCAGAAAAGGGATAAGGGAAACGTTCACACACATCTGCCAGGATTATAAAATGGATAATCTCCAAACACGGGAAAGGATTAATATCTCTGATATACAACATTAAATTCGGCGTATCTGGCTAATTGCCCGTCAATAGGAACATCATAGTGCCGTGCACTGCCCTGTGAGACTAATAAGCAACCGTAACGGAACACGTCGGATTGGAGCACACATTGGAGCCGATTCATTAGAAGCAAGAGCAGGTTGCGGAGTAAAGTACAACTTAGCGAAGTTTGATACAAGATCCGACAAATAAAATGCCTGGTTTATCGAGATCTCAGGTTATTCTCATGTGAATCGCCCTCAAATCTCGCAATTATGTCATGCAAACTATCACAGTGCGGGGCATAGGCGTCACGTCGATAGGAACGGCAAACAACGCGTCCACATATCCATCAAAATACACGAACCCGTTATCAATCGAGTCGGGCTCGTTGATGTACCATTTTTGCTGCCAGAGAGTGGAGGTGGAGCCCCCCAGCATCTGGAACGCGCCGTCCACGTAGCGAATATTCAGCCACACCAGGCCACTGATGGTGTTCCTCAGATACGTGAACTGTTCCTCCGTCTCGAATGTGGGCAGCGAGGCGGAGGTGCCGAAGGTGTTGGTGCAGTAGTCGCTGTCAGTCTGCCAGTAGGCTTCGGTGTCACCGGGGGTGGCCACAATATAGCAGGCACTGCCCACGGCCGTCCAGTCTGAGGACGGGCATTGAGGCGCGGCCGTGGTGGTGGGTGGGGCGGTGGTAGCCGCGGGAGTCGTGTCCGTGGCGGCGGAGGGCGCTGCCGTTCCCGTAAGCAGCGTGTCACCTCTGAGGATGCTGATACCCGGCGCGGCCGTCAGCTGGTCCGCGGTGGGCACCTGTGACAGCAGCAGACAGGACTCGTCGCCCGTCTGGATGGCGGCGCAGTCACCCTGCCGGACACAGAGAAGGGCGCAGTGGGCGGCGCTGCCCGCCACCGCCTCCAGAGCCGTGCCCGTGAAGGCCTGGTCGATCGCCGTCGGGCCGAACAGCATGCCGATGGCCTCGGCCCTCCCCAGGAGCAGCAGCAGAGGCAGCAGCAGCGGCAGCAGCAGCGGCAGCAGTGGGGCAGGCTCCCCAGCTCGGTTCATCGTGTTCGTGCTGTCCCGGCCCGTGTCGAAGTTCAATCAACCTGCTAAATAAATGTCGACAGTATGGGCGATGGAGGTGGTGAGGGATAACTAACTTTTTCATGCAGATAAAAAATGCTCTCAATTTGAAAAAAGGTCAAAGCAGCAGCTGTAGAAAAACGTAAGTATTTCTTATGTTAACCCTCGCGGGCCCGGGGGGGGGGGCGTTTTTCGCCCCCCCCCCCTCTGGCGAATATTTGCGATAGCTCCCGAACGCTTAGGGTTAGGAAAGCGAAACTTTCAGTACCTTTTCTCCCATTAATTTGACATCTTCTGAAGTAAAAAATTTGGACCTAGCCCCCTTGATGACGTCACAAGGTCCATTTTTCTAGACCCCTGCACGGCAAACTTCGGCGTCACAGACGCAAACTTCAAATATCGGGTGTTCATTAATGAATGGAATAAAGTAGGTAGGCACCAGAAAGATATATTTTCATCTCACGTTATCAAATCACACAATGCATTTTCAAGAGGGTTTATCATTTATGATGACATCATCGCGATCACCGCTTGCCACTTGTGTCTCCTACAGGAAGTGCTCAAAGTAACACCTTCACTCCGCCACGCACGGCTCTGCCCGGCGCTGTGTGTGCCGGACCATCTTCCTCATCTGCTCCTCGCTTATGTTCTGGCGAAGTCCTCCACGACCTTTTTCAGTTCTTTGATTGTTTCCGGCTCCGATTCTACCACGCGATTCAAAGCTTGGGTCCAGAACGAGAAATCCAGGCAGGACAGGTAGGGACTGTATGCGGGCCAGTGCAGATGGGTACCTCCGCGCAAGATGATCCGATCGTTGAACTTCGATCGAGGGAGGCCAATCATGACAGAATCAGGATCTTCCATACCTTTCCAATGGACATTTTAAGCTCTTCGCACGCCTGCCGAGCATGAGCTGTGGCATTTTTCCGGAAGAAATCCTTGACCTTTTCCATTTCACCAGGGTCATCGGCTGGCGCCCGGAGCGCACACATGGCCGTGTCGCTGCAAGGCATCCTAAATCTTTCCACCAAACGCTGAAAAGCATTCAGATGTGGTATGTGGTATTGCTGCTGGTTTTCTAGGAGAGAGCTTAAGGCGGAAAGCCCGTCTAACCACGGTAAGACTTTCCAACCCGGCACAGTTCTCCACAACCCAACCCGCTAGTTCATAATTGAACGGCGAGTTTGTCTTGAAGTGCCGATTTGGGCTCTTCGAAACCAGAGCCATTCATAAGCGTTTGGATAACGCTGTGATTAAAGTTATCATGTATTAAAAAATGATAAAGCCTATGTTTCATATTTACAAGAAAAAAAATGCGCTCACGTGATTTATTGTTATCACGTGACGTAGCTACTTTATTCCATTCATTAATGAACACCCGGTAGCTGCTAAAAATAGAGTTTTAGAGATAAAGACAAATTACGAGCACAGTTGTGTAGCGTTTGACCTAGAGAAAAATATAAAAAAAGTTTTGGTGACCTGAGGTCAGAGGTCAGGCCAACGACCCCGAAATGTGGTTTTAGTTTTTCGCAAATAACTTCGACAAAAATGGTCTAGAGCTACGGCAGTGGTACCATCGCATTTGCCTTGTCAAGCCGCGTCGAATGATATATATTTTGTTCGGAAAAGGTCAAGTTTTATGTTGACCTCATGTGACCTCGAATGACCTCTGGTTGACCTTGACACATGAAAGGTCGTTTATGATGGATTTGTACCCGCTGATCACGAATCTGGCATCTATTTTCCTCTAAGCCTTCATTTAGAGCTTCCGGATGGCAAAATTGTCTTATTTATTATTACTAACTTGAATCAGTGAAATAGCCTCTAGCAGGGATACTCTTCTGTGACCTTGACCTTTGGGCAGCCTTGTATCGTAAGATGAACCACAAATAGGGAACTGATAAGCCTCAAAACATTTCAAAACGTCTTGGAAGTTAGCAGGCAAGATGTGCGAAAAAGTGCAAGTTTGAGGTCAATTTTGAGCGTGACCTTGACCTTGGCCTTTGCTTTGGAGCACATTTTCGGAATCTTAAGATTCTCTTCTTTCGTTTGACACCCAATTTTGCCGGTTTGATGCAGTCTGCCGTCCTCTAGAAGGCTTACTTTGAGATCACTACACATGTGCCGGTTTTTGCCTTTGACCTTGACCTCTGACCTTGAAAATTGACCTGAGGTCAAAAATGTTAGGTGCTTTAGAATCGTCTCGTAAGGACCTTTCGTTTGGT